TGGTAAAAGAAAAAAAAAAAAAAAAAAAAAAAAAAAACACATCATAGTAAAATTAATACCTTCTCCGCTTCGCATCGAAGCTAAAATTGTGAACCACTCTGTATAAAAAACTAAATTTGACTCAATACTCACATCTTTCGCTCCAATATTTCTATACTATGAACTGTATGATCATAATCATCATTGATGTTATGCAAAACTCTTTCTGGAATTTCTAATTTTTGTTGCTCTAATTTTTTCGGTATTTTAAAAACTATTTTTAGAACTATCCATTTTTTCCATAATGAACGAGCCTTTTCAACAAAATTTACGGCTTCATCATTACTGTTAGGGTAACTTGGTAATATATTTTCTATTTCTTGGCAATGTTTGTCTGATTCATGGGAAGTATACTCTAAACTAAAATAATGAATTTTCATTAAATATTTAATAAATTAATACAATAAATATTAACTTAAATTTTTTTTTTACTTTTCAATTTTTGATTTAGCATCAAAAGGAATTTGAGCCCATTCAGCAACAACATCTAACACTTTTGATTTAGTAATAGTATTTCTATTCATAATAGGTAACTCAGCTAACATTTCTAAAATCTAAAATTTTAAGTTTATTATTGAATAAAAGAAAAATTATAATTTTTTTACTATAATTATTCTATTTATAATAATTACTAATTATATTATTCTTATTAACACTAAATAGTTATAAACTATAGTAAAATATTACATAAATGTTATTCAATTAATTAATTAGATATGTATATATCTGTATATATATACAACATAAACAAATTTATAAATATATATATATTTTATATATTATATATATATATATATATATAATAAATCATCTGTTTTACATTATTTTATTTTAAATCTATTGTCATAAACCAGTCTCAATTATGCAATTTGTATTACATACTAGGCACGCCAGGTTTTATATATCTCTTTGGAAACTGTAATAACTTTATCAATTTAGAGTAAAAATAGCTAATTTTTTTAAATTGTATAATAATGATCAATTTTACATCCTTTTATTTCACGAACTTAACATGCTACAGAGGGTGAGGGGGTCCTCTTTTACATTTTAGGGAGTCAAAGATGGTTCTTGGCTGAATGTTGGACATAAGCATGACATCAGGCTTGCACCAGATACCAAACAACACCAATGAGAAAATCATAAGAAAAATCTCATTGGCACTCAGGAGATCGAACCCAGGACCCATGAGTCAAAACCAATGTGTTCTACCCGCTAGACTAGCCTCTTTTGAGGTAAAAATTAAAATTCAATATATATTTATTTATGCAGACTTTTTTAAGCTAATACGACAAAAATTAGTGTTAGATATTTTTTTATGATATGAATATAGAAGGGAAATTTCTGTCATGTACCAGAAAATGCGGATCAGTTTAATTGGAAATTTTTTTTGTTTTGAATTTCAAAATTTTCATTTGTATAAGATTGACTTAATAATTTGAATGCTGATTTTGGTCTCCTGATAAATTTCTAAAATTAACATATTATTATTTTTTTAATAAAGGTACAGTTTTATGTTTATTATGTACAAATATAAGTTCTAAATACTCTAACTATATTTTTATTCTAAAAAATATCAAAAAAGGTATATTTTTCATGATAAAAATGTCACTATATATAAATTAAAAATAATATTAAATACCATGATTTTAAGTTCTTTGTTATCATTTGATGTCATCCAATTATGGATTATACTAAGTCCATTGAAATCCATAAATAACCGTTTATGATTCATGTCGTGTTCTCTTATAAAATTTAAAATATGCAAACGACTGACAGAATCAGATATGTGAACCATAAGTCTATTTAAGTTTAATGTAGCCATTTCTTGATCAGCCTTAAAACCAGTCTTCAGTTTGCTTATTTCAGTAAGCTGACGACCCAACTAAAAAAATTTAATTTACAGATTACAATATATATGTACTTTATTAAAAAAAAAAAAAACAAAAAAAGGTACTTTTGAAAAAACCAATTTAAGAATTTATAGTTTTAGGTCATAAAACTGTAATTCAATTCAACATATAATCATAATTTTTTAAGTATAAAAAGTAATAAACAAATTTATTTATTTTTATGCTACAAAAAACAAAATAACAAATTATGCTAATTACTTCTCTTAAATTGTTTTTCTCATTAAGAACAATTCTTTTCTTAACCATCCTCTTTCTTTTCATATATTTATCTGATTTCTGAGGTAAATTATTTTCATCTGTGATATCACTATCATCAGAACTACTAATATCAGTAATTTGGGATGCTTTACTGATGTAGCCTCGACATTTACTAGAGCCACAATAACAAATTTGAGCACCATCACTAATTAAAACCAGAAAGAAATTATCATTTAATGATTTAAAACATTCAATGTACTCTTACATACCCAAATACTTGAAAACTATAATCAAATGTTATCTCTTCACCTTTCATAATAGGTCTAGTACTGAAAAATCCCATACGTGACTGACCCAAAACATGCCACTAAAATAAAAAATATTTTAACTATAACTCAATTTACTTATATTGATCTAAAATATTAAAAAAATGGAAAGATCAAATTGAATGCTTACTTTTTCACCAACTGAATTAGGATCACAGCTATGGTTAATGAATCTTGTAACATTTCCTTTAGAAGTAGAATCGATAATTTCATCAGAATTTAATTGAACCATATAATTAAGGTTCTTATAGATCTTTTTTTTTAGTCTATTACACATTTCATTATAATCAATTACTTCTCCAACATACTCATAGATTAACACGCCTCTAGATGGTATAAACAAATATTTTACAAATGCAATGATGAATATAAATGTTTTCTACAATACTTCGGAATATCTTCAAGAGCACAAATTCCATAACCTTTATTATCAGTTTTGAAAAGTTTAGTTTTTTTAAATTGTTTATTTTGGAATTGCTTGTTTGAACAATATCGTTTAAGTGAACAACTGGATCCACTATCAGAAATGTTATCAAAATTAGTCAATGTGATAAAAGGTATTTAAATTAATGTTTTATTCATTTACCATTCAATTTTAAGTAATCGATTAAGACATTGATCACCACATCCAATTTTTCCCTTTACAATATCTTCTTTTGTTAGAGTGCATTCACAAAAAACATTAATATCACCAGAAATAGTCCTAAATTACATAATTTATACTTATTAAAATAGTTAACTTAGAAACAGTGCTCAAATTAAGAGGACATATTAGAGACAGAATTATTTTTTTTGTATTCCCATATTTCCACCCTTGCTCTTTTGTTTTGATTTAGAAGAGACCCAACACTTCAATTTTCTCAATTCAAGCACTACTGAGAAATGTTAGAAAAAATACCTCTGTTTAAGTTTACGTAGCCTAGATATTTCTGTACTTGAGTAAGACTTCATAGATTGTCTGAAAATAATAAATATTGACATCAATAAGAATACAGTTAACATACTTACAAATATTTATTTTACAAAATTAATATTTTATAAATATTGATAACATAAAAGTTAACATACCTATCAGGTCTATACATATTTTCATTAATCAATGTAAAGTTAACCGACTTAAGAGCTTCATTAAATTCTTGATCATTACATTTAGCTTTTAATAACTGTTGCTCATGCTCTTTGCTAATTTCAATAGCTACTTTATTATAATTAACATCAGGAACTTTAATATCATCCAATAAATCTATAAAATTATTTTTTGGCTTTATCCTTTTTGATTGCCTTCTATTTTTTGTTGGAGATTTAACTTGACTAGGTAATGAAATAATCATTTTGGAACAACTATGATTTACTTCAAAATTATCACAACTTTTATAGCGTTTAAGAACATTAAAATTGTTAGTTTTCACTTTATCTAATACCGAATCTACACTTTTTGATCTTAAATTATGAGGATTGAAATTAGATTGAAATAATTCATCTTTTATTATAGTAAAATATTTATGTGTTTTTAAATCCAATTTATAGTTTTTATTGACAAAATTATTAGTTTCTGTTATAGTATCATTTTTTCTTTGTGATAATTTTTTTATATTTGATGAACTTATTAAACTATTGGTCTGCTGTCCTATTGAATTTATTAATGATTCGTACATTTTTGTATCAAGGGTGACATGGGGTATAATTTCTTCTGTATTTTTACTTAACACAATGTTACTATTTAAGATATTACACATATTGAATTCATTATTAATTTCAGATTTGTGGTTATCAACTAAGTTATTACTTTTACATAACATAATTTTGTTAATAGTTGTAGCACTCTCAGATATATTTTTATGTAAATTTAAAATTTTTGTATTTTTATTCAATATTTGATTGGTATCTTCATTATACACTTTTGGTAATTCTACCACATTCGTATCTATAAATTTGAAATTCCACGACAAAGAATTTCTACGAATTGATTTATGGGATAATTCTATATCAACGCTGCGAGATGAACCCCATACAGTTATTATGTTCCAATCCACAGAAGATTTTTGCAAAACACTATCATCATGAACTCTTACACAAGAGGTACTTGTATCTTTGACATGATTTTCTTTTTTAAGTAAATCTATCGAATGTTTTTTTTTTCTTCCTCTCCTTAAATTAAAGGATTTGGGAGTATTCACTTTTTTGTCTTTATTTTTTTTTAATCCTAACAACTGTCTATAATCAGTTCTAGTGTTTCCAGACCTACGAGAGCTTCTTCGTACTTCTGTAGATCTAAACACTTCATTACATTCAATATTTTCATTGAAATCATCAGTAGAGTTATCAATAACTGTATCAGACATTTCAAATGAAGATTGTGATTCTTCCATCAGCATTTCCATTTGGCATGATTGTGTCCACCTAGATTTTACTTTAACAGGTTTTTGATAATCTGTTTGAGAACAAGTAGGTGAAGACGTTGGCTCTTCATCATTTGATGTTACGTACTCACGAATTTTCTGTTTTTTAATTGGTACTAATATTTTGTATTGTTCACTCAATTCTGTTTTGATACCATCATCAATAGCAATATCATTCATTAAAGATTGAGTTTTTAAATTTTGAGAACCAATATTTGTAGTATATTTATTTATATTTCTTCTTCTACGTGGCTTTTTAGACATATTTGATGTTTTATTTTCCATTTTAATTGGAAAATTTGCCTGAAAAATTAAAAAATTCTAAATTTTAATCAGATAACACAAAAAGTATAATTAGTTCATATTTTAAAATATACTTAAGTAAAAAATATTTTCATATTTTCGTTCTAAAAATAATTATTTTAGAAAATGTATAATAAATTAAATTTATAATTTACAAAATATTTTCTTTTTAGATTAACAATGTTTATAATTCAATAAAACTAAAAAAATCATAAATTAATACTTAAATATTTGAATACTCACTAATTAAGTTTCCAATATACACCGTGAAAAACTAATGGTGTAATAATTTTAATACTAAAAAAAATTAGACAATTAATTTTACTTAATTTTAACTTTACGTAGGTGTTGTTTGAATTAATGTCAGCTAAGGAAAGTAAGAATAAGCATTTGATGCACAATAATTTAGCATTACAATAAGTTTCATTGACATAATTTTTTATATACATAAACATATGTATATAAATTATCCTTATATAACGATAGTAAAAAATAAACAAATGTTCCTTAAAGAAATATTTCGGATCATCCGTCTTTCCATTATGATTGTGAAAACACTTATCAATAACGAAAAAAATTATTTTTATGTTTTGATTATTTAAGGAATACCAATGTTTATCACTTGAGATAATGATTAAGTGATAAGAGAATTGCAAAACTGGAACAGAGCTCAAAATATTATTTTTAGTAATTAAATTGCATGGGTTCAAATACATACAGATACTTAGAACATGAATGACAATAGATTTACTAGAATTATTTTATATTGACATTCATAACAAAAAATTTCTGATAATTGTTTTAACAATTTAGTTTTCTTTGTTTTTAATTTGGGTAGTTCTGTTGATAGATAGCGTAAATTATATATTACTAATAATCAGAATAAAAATCGCTCACTAAAGATCAAAATCAGAAGGTATCTTTCTAAGACTTAAGCTAGTAAACTCATTATCCAAATATTCATGTCAAAAATAATTTGAATATCTATATGTAGGATTGAAGGTATTGCATTTACTGATATGATTATTAGTATTTCACCATTTTTTCTTAGAAGTTACTGATTTTGTTAATTAATACATTAAGATATTCCAAATTATGTCTAATTTAAAACATTACTCTCAGTATTTTAAAAGGACTTCTCAATCACTAAAAGTCTTTAAAAAACAAAGTAAAATAAACCAACAAACTATTTAAACTTGGATATTTTTTGTTTTTTAACTTTAGGTCACAACTTTTTGAAAAAATGTAATTATCGGAATAACATTATTAATGAATTTCTTATACATACAACCCTTTCTTTATACATATTTATTTTGAACATTTATTATCTCAAAGAGAGATGGGTTAAAATAGTAATAAGTGCAAAAAAATTTAATTTTTAATGTTAATATATTTGTCGTTTTTTAAATATAGTGTCTCAAACCTTGTTAGTTACGTTTGAAACTAGTAACTTTTGATCCAATTATAATTTCGTTGAAATTTGTTTTTTTTATATTTAAAAACTTATTAATTTTTAAGAATAATTAAAAACTCAATAATATATAATTTTAATAAATAATAATAATTATTACTTTTTAATATATAAATTTCAATAACAATTAAAACTCCCATGAATTTATACATATATTTCTATGTCTTGTAATATTATTATGGTTAATTGACATGAACTAATGTATAAAGCCGTTTGCTTTATATTAGTTCAAATAAATAAAGAAAACCCAACTCAACTATTCTCTTTGTTTTAAAGCTTAGACGAACTGAGAAGCAGGTACATCAAATTTAAGGGATGTTTTTGAATTTCTTTAAATTCAATAATACTCTTTAAGTTCAACCCAACCCTTTAAAACCTTATATTATAATGTAACTATAATCAGTAAGGATTTAATAATTATGAAAATGTTATATCAGCTATTATGAACTTCCTTTTTCTGAGACTATAAGAATCGAGTTTCATCTATTTCTAAATTAAGGAAAATATTTTTCAATGTGGGTGAATTTTTTTTGTGGATTTTTGACATTGAAAGATCTCTTTAAAAGTTGTTACCCTAGGGATCCCCTAGCTTCGTCAATAATTATTATTAATCATCATTTTAACTGTATGTCAAATTTATTATTATATCATTCTAAAACTAATAGAAAATTACTTAATTTGATTATATTTATTAAATACAATTTATTTTTAAATAGGACTAGGCTTGTTACATTTTAAATATGCAGTTTTTAAAACACCAAAAATTTCACATGTACAGTAATCTTAGTAGACTTTTTAAACAGAATATTAACAACTCTGTATAAATCTATAGTACTTTTTTTTTTTTTTTTTATTACAATAGGTTAATACCATTGGTATATCCTGAGGAAATTTAAGTGCAGTGATACCCGTAGCCTATTCCACTGAGAACATAGTGCTTTTTCGCCACCGTAGAAGCGCATGCATAGTCACCCATCCGTTCACTTATGGCGGTAGGCGCGGCTTAACACTAGAGCTTTGTCATCAACTAGTGTGACCACCGCGCCCTGAGAGCTATAGTACAATATGGTAAATTATACTCTAATAGAATTTAATTGTTGTTTTATTAATTGATTAGTTAATTTAACTTTAAAAAGAGTAGAAAAATTCATAAACAATTAAAAAAAGTAACGGAAATCGAGACATTTTTGTAATTCAAATTTAAGTCATCGTTACAAAACGATTTATTTAAATTATTATTGGAGCATATTTTACATGACAGCGATAATTTTTAAGTTCATGTATTAAGAAAATAATGGCGGTACATTTACAATCTCCTTGGTAAAAACTCCTTATGCTTCTTTCCACTGTTCTACCCCGCCTATTTTATTATCACAGCCGGAGAGTAGTGGCATTTCATAATAACAGTGGCGATTCGGTTGGGTTGGGTTGGTCTGCCCTTTTTTAGTGATGCATTTTTTTCCCGTGTCCTCGAATCGTTTCTACGTGTCGTCTAATGTCGCCAGTCGTTTTTCGTCACTTGTTACTTTCGGTCTGTGTTAGTGTTATTAAACGATGTGATAATTATTGCTAAATTATTTTCTACATTAAAATTTATTTTAATTTTTGTGTTTAAAATGAATACGTGAAATTTAAAAGTGATCATTTAATGGTATTTGTTGTACAGTATAGCATTTTTCTAAGATGTATAAATTCAAAAATATTTATCCAGAAAAACTAATACTTCCGGCGCCTCCTACATTTTCTTAGTGTAACTTCTAAATTAGGTCTCTGGACCGTTGTGATAATAAAACTCACAGAAATTCAATCATTTTTTTTATTTAATAAGTAAGTTTTTTGTTTTGGATATAATTTTCTTATAATTATCCTTTTTAATTTACATATCTACAACGTATTTCAATAATATTGAATTAATATTTATAGAAGATCAATACGAAAACGGTATTTGGAAGGTTTAAGTAACATGAAATAAATTAATAAAATACACTATCTTTTATGGCTTTTTGAATTAAGTATTTTTAATATTCTTTAGTTTTAAATTATTATTTTTAATGCATTTGTAATTTTAAATAAAATTAATGAACAGCAATTAAATACTATATTGAAAATAATGTAAAATCGTACTTCAAAGTTTTACTTATTAATATTATTAATTCAACATAATATTTAATATTTTTTCACTGTTCATAAGAACAGTGAAAAAATTTCTGTGTATTATATTAAGTTTTCATTTATTGTTGACTCTTAGTGGACAATATTAGTTCACCAGTTTATGCGTAGCATTATAATAATTAAAATTGTGTTATTAGCTCATTTTGATAAAATATGAAGTACATAATACTACATTTTAAGCAATAATATATGGTGCTTACATATCAAACTCATTAATATCACTAAAAAAAACATGCAAATATTGTTTTATTATTTAAATACCTGAACATTCAACACAATAAAAAGAGAATTTATCTAATTGCTATAAAGAAATTATTTAATTAAGAAACATAACCAAACTAATTTTAATGAAATCATATTATTAGTAGTTATATTAGTTGAAAGACATTTTTGAAATTTTTTTTATTAGTTCATAATATAAAGTTTTACCTACAACTATTATAATACTTTTGGCAACTAATAATATAATGTTTGTGTAAAATTTTCTTTTAGCTTATTATTAGCTCTTTTCATTAAGTCAAGTGGTCCATGGATAAAGAATAAACTATGATTGACTCGGTTATTAGAAAATTATCACTAATTTTAATAATACATGATAATTGTATATTTCAATTCTTTGAAGATAATTAAATATTTTATAGAAATTGAAATGTCACTAATATTTTACTATAAAAGGAGAAAAATATGTATTTCAAATCTGCTTACAGTGTTCAATTGTAAGTTAACCTTAAAGTTTTCATTTATTTACGATTTATGATGTCTCACAAATAACTCATTCAATCCTATAACTTATTATTAAATACTGTACTCTAAAATTAAACTATCTAATGATTCATTTAAAAATAGAAGACTTTTGGTTGTTTACCTCTAATGTACAGAATTTATTAAATTGTTTGAATTATTTTCTTTATTTCATCTGACAATATTTTTTAAACATTTTAAAGTTAGCAAAAAGCTCTAAAAAGTCTAAAACTTTAAAATCTCAACATATTTTTTCCTATCATTATTAATGCATCATTAATTTTACGGTTTTACCATTGTATATCAATAATATTTATCAATATATTAATGAAGCATTTACAGAGAATTTCTTATTGATTAATTTTCATTATCTTTAAAGTGCTATTATGTGATACTGTAGAATTTTTATTTTTTTACTTAAATAAGTAGTAAAATTCTTAGATTTTTTTTTGTTAGGAAGATAAAATGAATATATAATTTCTGAAAAATACTATTTCATATACAAATAACGGTTAAAATGATGGAAGACAGAAGGGAACGCAGTCCCTTTTCTTATTTGGAGGATAATCTAGCATCCCCTTTAAGTCAAATCCCAAAATGCTGGGGGTACACTTTAATTTTGAGCATTGAAAAGTGGAAATTGTTAACATAAGAAATTTATTTAAATGGTCAAAATTTCAAAATTGTTAAAAAAAATAACTGTAGAAGAATTTAAATTATGAAATTATAATAATTTTATGATACAACTGGTAATTTAAGATTTGTTATATTAATAGAACCTATCATGGTTGTTAATATATTTTTAGTTTGTTGAATACTTTATACATTATATTACTATATTTATCATTTCATAATTTTATATATATATATATACTTACATAAATAGGTTACTGTTAATATTTTTTTTTCAATTTGTTTCTGTTTAATGTTTAAATATTATTTAAAAATATTTTGCATTTACTTCCATAATAAATTAAAATTTTTGATATTGACTTTGTGATGTTTTGTATAATATTCATTTCTAATTGATTTTTAACAAAAAATATAGGTACTAATCAATTATTTTATTGATATAAATTTTTTTTACTAAGTGAGTATATTTGCTTATTATGATCAATATAATTTGTAGCCTTTAGACAATTTTGTATAGCTCAGAAACACGTCATTTTTTAGGAACTATAGTACTCCTAGTTTTTTCCACTTTAACTACTGTATACAAATTATAATTGTAATGTTATGTAATTCAATATGCCCAACTAATAAGATAGTCTCTTACTTTTCAAAAGATAAAAATAAAATGTATTCTCCGATTACACTATATGTTTATCAATTTTTTAAGTAGTTTAATTCTGGTTCAAATAAAATTTTCCATACTTTGATAATTATTAGAAGAGTTATTATAAGAAGAGTAAAATCTAAATATCTCTTAATCTCAAAGCTGAATTATTTATTTACTGCCTTATTTGTTACACATGGAAAATTGTACAATGTAGGGGTTTTTTCTTGAGAATTTCTTTAATTATGAATTCTAGGATGTTATTATATTTTTTATTAATTTGTAAAAATATTATAGTATGATTCATTTTACATTAAATAATTCATTGAAGACTAATTAATATTATAAATTCTAATTTTATCTAATTTTAGATTTCATAAATCTTTTGAATATATTGTATCTCTACCATGGTTATATCTACTAATATTATTTATTAAATTTATTGAAGAATTAATCAAATATTATGTTATTTGTTGCATTTTTTAAACAAAACTTTAAGTTAAAAAAAATCTTTGCGTGCCCTATAAAATTTTATAGGCCCTAGTATATTACCCAACTCAATAGTTCAGTTAACTTTTTTTTGCTCATTACATTTTATGGAAAATTTAACAATGTATGTGATTTTTTTACCGCTTATTATTTTAATCTTGAATATAGAAGTTAAAGCAAGTTAATTATGTTGTGATGATGTCAATCCTTGTGACTTACAAGGACTGAAGGATTGATTCTCATAAACCTTAAAAACCTGTTCTACTATTCTACAAACTGCTCTTTAAAAGTAATAAAAGATAATTGTTGACCTATATATATATAAAAAATAAAGACTTAAAAATTTAAGTAGTAACAGTTATTAATAATTGTTTTCTAAAAATTCAACACACTGAACGATTTGTTCTCCACATTTTGTGATATAGACTATATTTTAAGTCCTCATACTTAGTCTAATAAATAAAATTTAAAGACACTTAATTAAAATCAATAATTTTTAAGTGCAAAAAAATTTACCACACTCATAAAATAGGCATACCATTTTTTGTTAAATGACAGATTTACTACATATCTATTTATATACATATCATAAAATAAACCAAAATCCCATTTTTGTAACTTTGAATATAAGCCACAGAATTAAATTTATAAAAAATTTATATGAAAATGTAATTGAATATTTGTTGCCATATTCATTAATATAAACTTTCAAAAATTTAACTGTTACTAATATCATAATAATGTGCTTATGATTTCCTTTTTATTTTGTTATTTCATATAAATGCATTGTTTAAATTGTGGGTTTATTTGATTTAATGGTACAGAAATTGGTTATAATTTTTTAAGAAATTATTTAATATCTGTTAACTAGACTTAATTATATTAATTTTCTCTAAATTAACTATCAAAAAATACTGAAATGTGTTAATATAATCTCTAGTTTTTTACGATTTTTTAAAAATTCAGTATAATATTTAGGATATAATCGTATTTTCAAATGTACTCTATAATTTATAAATAATGATTTGAGTGTTTAAGGTCAAAAAACAGTTGGTAACACATCTTTGAGGTGTTTTTCAAGTAACCCTCAAATACCAAAAAGAACATTGTGTAAATATACCTTATTTCATAGCGATATATTATATTAATAATGTATCAACTGTAGATTTTTAAAATATCTAATTATTTATTTTTTTATAGCTAAAATATGTTTAGAAATTATTAGAAATTTATTAAGCCGTAAATATGACGTAATTTTTTTAATTATAGTCAGTTTACATACATTCTCAGCCTTATATTATATCATCTCGAGTTGTGGATATTACTTAGCAGTAACATTGAAATGGGTCATCATTTATTTTTAACTTGGCGGAAAATCTGTTTTTTAGTTGACAAAAGCAAATATGGCTGATTTCAAAACAAAATATGAATATCGAATGACCGGAAGGGTTTCGTTTTATTTTTAAGGATTGATAAACCAAAATAAATATTATAAAGAGATTGTCTAATTTACTTTGTATTTATTAGTTATTTATTACAGTAATATTTTCTTATGATTAATACGTTAATATTTTTAATTTTCGTGAATAATTTTTGTACTCTAAAGAAATTGGTTCACAGTTATTAAAATAGTAATTTACAATAATTAAAATTCCTCAAAAAATTAAGATTAAAAGATTAAATATTTTTAAAAACTGTTTAATTGAAAATCTAATGTTCTTATTAATTTTTTGAAAATAACGAGGATTATGCAATTAAGATTTTATTTTATATTTAAACGGTTTCCTGTGTCCACATTTAAAATTAATATTTTAGAGAAATAATAATTAGCTAAAAAAAATAAAAAAAATTGATTTATTGTTCAAATTAAATTGAATATATTTTTTTTCAAGTAATTAGAGTTGTAACGTTTTATATTTCTATTTTTACAGGTTTTTAATTAAAGAATTTTTATGGGAAATATTAAAATCCAAAACTAATACTACTAAGCAAATAAAAACAAATATTTTTTAAACAAATGTATTTTAAGTATGTAAATTAATTATTAATGAATCCCTAAGCTAACACTGAAACCTTCTATAACTAAAAAAGGTTTTAAAAATTATTGGTTCCCCTCCTCGTTAAACAATATATTTCGTTATGCTTCTGTTCTTAAAACTTCAGCGGATTCCACAATGTGCCAACGCATTATCAGAATATACATATTTTTCTTTTTTATCGAACTGTCTATTTTTTTTTTATTAATCAACGCCTTCGCTATAATTTCCTATCTGAGAAATGATTTTTATCCTACCGCCACTTATTAGTCATGAATACAATAATTCGTTGTATTAGTAATGTTTAATATGTTCTATAAAACATGTGTTGTGAAATGTCAGTTAAAAAACTGAACAATTATAAGAAATAAATTTAAATATCAGATTTTCTGTTTGGTTTAATAATTTATATTTATAATGAAAAACTGTGAAACGTCAACGACACGATTTTTCTCTTTAATAGTAATGTATTAATAACACTATGATGTTTAATATCATTAAAATCTTCCAGTCAACCTATTTGTTGTTCGTATTCTTGCTATATAATTGTTACATAGCATTATATATTTACCAATTTTCCATTAACTTTATAACTGTTTTAAGTTTTCAAACTGGCTAGTTTCGATGCTTTTTCTGACCCAAGTAGTTCTGAATATAAAACAAAATGCAGGCCATGTGTTATATACGAAACACGCAAATAATATTATTGATTCGACCCGACCCCTCTTTAATTTTTGTAAACGAATATGAAGTATTTCTGATGTCTTGTATAATAATATACTTTTGAGATAACCTTCTAAGTGTCTTAATTTTAAAATATCATTAATGTACTTGATATTAACGATACATTGGTCATTGTATACTCAATGCTTTATTCAATGTATGAATCGTAACGAACGTACACACACGCCGGATAACTGTCCATCAAAACCATATAAGGCCTGGTCGAGTATTCCGTCATCCTATGGAGGTGGAAATACTTTACACCTCCTCTGGCCGTCGCTATCGTTGACGACGCAAACGACCTTTAAAATCCGTTCATCTTCGCAAAAAGAACCCAACTTCGCGTTTTCTCTTCATTCATTAAAAATCAATCAATGTAATATAATTCTCATATTTGTGTCCGTTTGGAGAGTTGTTGTAAATTTCAAAATAATTAGTTTAACTACTTGCAATGCATAGTTAGTAATTAAAAAGTAATGTCTACATTAATAATCAACGTAAATACAATCAGTAGCATTTAACAATTATTTTTAAATGCCATCCAATAAAACGAATTTAACCAATTTTATGTTAACGTTTAAATTATGGAATTTGTTTGAAAGCGCATCTAGTCGCAGTGATTGTATAATTAGCTCATTGTATAATAAACTTATAAACAGCAACTGTACCATAAGGTCGTTTGTGTGGGAATGACTGGTTTTTTTACCGCATGTCAACCCATGCACACCCACGTGCCACACTGCGATACGCTAACACGTTATGCACCCAAGGAGTCTGTTCTAAGGTACACTTGTATGTAACGAGTACTAACCACTCCTTCTCGAGCGGCCAGTGATGATAACGATACAATAAAATCACACATGTTAGCGAAATCGGACGGTTTTCACGGGATGATCGACGTTTGGCCGTCTGCCGTTTTGCGGACCCGAACGTTACTGGACCGTAATGCACCGTACCAAAATGACTGCCAAGTTTACCGGTGCGTCCAGCCACATTCGTCCCGTCGAAAACCGCATATGGTCAGATTCGCGCCTTTAGCGTTACTGCCGTCAGTGCTTGTTACCGGCGTTGTTGTTTGTCAGGGGAAACTACATTAATGAGCGCCGTTCAACATTTATACACAGTGCCTGCGTTCGCATTCCGCCACGACAGACCAAAACCAATAAAGTATACACAATATTCTCTTTTTTCCATTTGGAAGCGATATTTGTTTTTGTTCTACGTGTTCCCCCTTCCTTTAAAGGTTTATAAATTATAACCAATGCACGAGCAAGTAGTATAAAAATATCATGTAAACTGATTTGTTACCAGTAACGCACACAGAACATCAATATTAAACCGTTGACGTGTTTGTAGTGTGACTTAATGTTTTGGAATTTGCTAACCAATTTGATTAAATTTAGCTCCTTATATTTCTATTTTGTTTGCATCTGGTTGTAATGAGTGTGTTTAGGTAAAAAAAACATATTTAATAAAACCAATTTAAATATTAAAATGAATACAAAACGATCGGCTTTTAAAAAACTAGGTCGTTTAAATGTCAAACTGTCTATTTTTATTTTGAGTCGTATTCAGTTAAATAAAAATCACTATAGTGACACGATACGTTTAACTTTTATTGCAATTTCCAAATATCATTATAAAATGACATGGTTTGTTTTTAATTTAAATATCTCACAAAAAAGTACCGTTTATTTAGTTTTTTCTGGAGGGTTACTATTTTACAAATAATTTCGTAAAAGTGTTTTAAGTCACATTTTCGACTAATTTTTCTTTATTCGTAAATGACGTATATTACGTATATTCACTTTGCTACAATTTCAAGTATTCATTGAAATCTAACTAAATTATCCAGTGAAATCAACGATAAGTATTACATTTATAGACCGATTATTTTACTTTTTGCTCATACAATAAATGCATTTGTATCATCGCGATCGTGCGCTTCACAACTCCAGTCTTACTTAAAATTAAATGTTATGATTTACTACTACATAATATGACATATTATATACTTGATGTATAATTAAAAAAAAAATGAACAAATAAAGAAGCAACTTTGAAGTGAACTTTTTTATAGATTTTAGTTATATTATAAAATAGTCATTACTCTTTTTAATAATAATCGCTTATTATAATATTCAAATAAAATATACAAATAATTATTCACTTAGGAATATATATGCTCATTCTGTAGCATCAATCGCATTGCAATTTAAATTTTAATTAATTCAATGTCTGGCCTCGAATGTATTAAGTTGGTTAAATAAAACTTATTAATAAATGATATTACGTAATATTGCAGGTAAAAATAATTTTGTTTGAAAAATGAACGGAGAACTCACTACTATGTGGACGATATTTTTATTAGTGTTGGGATTTTGTAGAGCTCAAGAGTTAAATCAGCAGCTGATGATACAAAATCCTTGTATACTTAAACAAACGTGTCATGAATGCATACAGACACCAACTTGTGCTTGGTGCGCTCAACCAGTAAGTTATTTGTTTCAAAAAACTCAATAAAAATGAATATTTTTGTATGTCATTAATTTTTTTCCTAATTACTTTGTCTTATTCAACCGCCGCTAAACATAATATTTATTAATTAGCGTATTTTACTTCCGTATATAGTTATCACATTAGTTTCATGTAAAGGCTGGTTTTTCAATAGTGTTTGATTATGTTTGTCATCCTATCGGCCAATTGTTTTTTAGTATACATGTGTGCATTGCAACAGGCCTCAAAATTATTAGGTTTTCTGGAGTTTACTGATGTCTGAAAAGTTATCNATTGTTTTTTAGTATACATGTGTGCATTGCAACAGGCCTCAAAATTATTAGGTTTTCTGGAGTTTACTGATGTCTGAAAAGTTTTTTTAAGCCATACAGTTATTTATTTTCTTAGTTAGTCGCCTATTAGATTGATACAGAGGAGATAATTTTATTTTATTATGATATGTTTTTATACATATTTTTTTTACCCGTGTCAATTCGTATTCTTCTTGTTAGCAATATATCAATATATAGTCCATTTATTATAAAACCTTTAAAAACATATACAGGGAAATTAATTTAGATGAAGTTTTTCAAATTAGTCGAAAAATAAATTTAAACAATTTATTATTTTTTTTTTTAAGGTACATATTTTTTTCAATTTATCAATCATGCAATATTTTTTATTTCATCCCTTATACCTTATTAGAGTGTCAATTAATTTTTTTAAATGATAACATACATAATTAACTAATTTAGTTAATAGAACTTTTCAAAGACTATCATAAGTTGTTTCATTTTTAGTGATTTTTGATGCAATAACTAGATAATATGATAAATTTGAACAAATTGATGATCTGTCATTGTATTAGTTTTTTAAAACTTTAAAAAAAATATATATAAATATTTTATTTTTTTAAATTTTGATTATAAATGTTAAAATCAGAAATGTTATTTTTTATTTTGGATAATTTCTCTTAAATAAATTCAGGGTTTTTAATAGAATATAATCTTAGTAGTATAACCTTTTGTATGGTATTAGTGTAAAAATATATATTATTGTAGTATTTCTATTTTTGATTGACAAATTCTAATAAAATGATATAATTTAAATGGACATGTAAGAAAATAAGTTTTATTATAAATATTAATAGAAATTAATAATCATGATTTTTCTTTTTTTTTTTAAAAAAAAAGAGAATTTTAAGAATACTTTTAATATAAAAAATAAATTTTGTTATAATATTTGATAGTGTTTAAAACTGAAATTATTATTTTTTTTAGTCGTTTGATGGTAAACGTTGCTTTCAACCCAATATTAACTCTAATTTGTTATTACAATGTGAAGAACGTTATATAAATAATCCTGACAATGTATTTACTATTATGGAGTCCCGAAAACTTCAAAAAGCTAGCAGATTAACTTCTAGTAGTAGTTTTAGTAGCAGTAGTAGTAGTAGTAGTAGTAGTTCCAGTTCTAGTTCTAGTTTTGGATCAAATTCAGGAGGATTTTCTGGTTCTGGACATGAAGCTATCCAAATATCTCCTCAACGAGTTTCCTTAAAATTGAGAATAAGTATGTTGTTGATATAAAAAATAATATTTTAATAATATATTTCTTTGGAAAATGTTTAGATGAAGCTTATAGGATATCATTTAACTATGCACAAGCTGAAGATTATCCTGTTGACTTATATTATTTAATGGATTTATCAAAATCAATGGAGGATGATAAAGAAAAATTGTCTGCTCTTGGAAATTTGTTAGCTGAAAGTATGCAAAATATTACATCAAACTTTCGTCTTGGTTTTGGTAGCTTTGTTGACAAAGTTGTTATGCCCTATGTCAGCACAGTTCCTAAAAAGTGAGTGCATATATATTATAATTTAATATCATGATAATTGTGTTTGTTGTATGTGATTTTAAATCTCTACTACATATTTTTTTTACCTGATTGTTATGGGGTTAGACTTGAAACTCCTTGCGAATTTTGTGTTCCTACATATGGTTTTCGAAATCAGTTGTCATTGAGCTCGGACACTGATCTATTCTCAGTAAGTTATTGTTGTTAAATGGGTCCAACCATAGCAAAAAACACATTTGCCTGTATTATGAACAAACTATAAATATTTCCATGTTGTATAAACACAAATGCCTTAGGTGTTTCTATTGCTATTAGCTGCTTTACTATATATGTGTAGACCTAAGAAAAATTTGTCTATTTCCTTATTCTTTAAATATACTTTTATTTTTAAATTTGGGTCCAATTAATTTTTTTTATACAGGAATATATATATATATATTTATATAAACTTCTAATGATACTTTTGGTTGGTGAAAGAAAAAACACTTATTGTCTCTTAATTATAAGCTTGGTTTATGCAAAAATTAAGAATTATTATTTTCATTAGCTAAATTATTATTTTATGAACATATTTATTGAGTTTTTGAAAATATATTATATCAAATAGTTTTAAATAAATTAATGTACTTTTGACTAAACATAATAAAAAAAAATTGTATTACAATTATACTCATAACCTGCTTATTTACAATAATTTTTCTGAAACTTGATTGTCTACTCTTACAATTAATTTAATTTAATTAATTAAAAACTAAAATAGCAATATATTTAATGTATTTCTCTCTTTTTTTTTTTTTTAACAATAATTTCCAAATATATTAGGATTTTTAATGATGATTAGATTAATACTTATGCAATATTATTTGTATGAGAATCAACTATACTACAAAAAAAATTTATCATTATTTATTTGCACATAAATATAATTAGACATTTTTGTTTATGTATATGTCAATACATTTAGTGTTAGTAAATTATTTGACAATATTTGATAATATATGACAATCTATCTATTAACTAGAATAGTGATACCAATCAAAAATGAAATTTACATAATATATAAAATTCAGCTACTAACAACAGCAAAAAAAGAATAGGATGCTCTTTCACTTTTGGTAAACATAATAAGTATAATTCATGAAAGTTTACTAGCTCAAAATTTAATGTTTACTTGGTTAAAAAATAAAAAACGAAGTTATATCACTATTCTTGCTGTTATAAAGGTTCAATTAAGTTCCTATATTATTAAATACAAAACACAATAGTCTATATTTTTTTTATTTGTTGGCGTAAAAAGTAGTATTTCTTTAACTTTAAAGTAAACCAAGAAAAAATTCATATAAAAACGTTTAATATGCAATTTTTAAATAAATAAATATATTTTTTTAATTGATTTATTTCTGTTCACTTTAAATAGTAATTCTGTGGTATAATTTATGAGTGATTTTGTATTTGTAAATATTATACTTGATTGGATACATGGAACTCTCTATTGATGTTAGATATGTTAGGCATAATAATATGTTAGGTAAAATTATTATTAAAAAAATCCTATAATATCTTGAATCTTCCATATGTTTGTGGGAGAGGGAACTCTTATTCCATTCAGGAATATGCTTAAGGTATGCTAATAAATTTTTCTGGATAGCTAAAACAATATTATTTTATTTGAGACTCACATGAATGTTGGAAAAAATCCAATAATTTTCATTATAATGATATATTTAGTATCAGGAAAAAACATTAAAATAAAATTGTACCTTAAAATGTAATAATGTTAAAAATATATTTCAGAATATAACTCATAGTAATTTTTATTTAATTTTTGTAAGACTTAAAGTGTAAGTGGAATTTATGTTAAATTCAAATATTTTAGCCTACATACTGCATTTTTCAATTTTAATTTTCAATATTCTTTTAATATTGGTTTAAAAAAATATTACTTTTCAAGGTCAATTTATTGTTCCATATATTTAATGAAGAGTGTAATTGTAGTAGTTGTAAAGACAAAAATTTTTGTTATTGTGTAATGCATGATATGTATTTATTTAAAAAATGTATTTTATTATTACAAAATATATTTTGTAATAATTTATGTGTGCTTGTAAAATATTCAGCTTGGTTGAACCATGTCCACGCTGTGAGAAACCCTATGGTTATCAAAATGTCATGTCTCTCAGCCAAGATACTCATAGATTTGCTGTAAGTTCAATATTATCTTCTCTGTCAAAATTTATTACATTAAAATAATCAAACTAACAACCTATCTAGTTCAATATTTTATATAGATAAAATAAACTCAAAATTCTTACAAAAAAAAAATATACTAACTTATTACAATAAGATAATATTTTCTTATCTATTTATTTGATTCTTCATATAAAATTTATAAATTTATTTTCTTAAATATCATTTTTTTTTCACATGACATAATTATTTGCTATTGCATGTTTGATTTAAGTTAATTGAATGTTTATTGCTTATTTGTGAAGATCATAAATCTTATATGGGTATTTTATAATCTAATTTTTACAAAATATTGAAAATAAAAATAGGGTGAAGTTAGAAAAGCAAGTGTATCAGGCAATTTAGATGCTCCTGAAGGTGGCTTTGATGCCATAATGCAAGCAATTGTATGTAGAGAGCAAATTGGTTGGAGAGAACGTGCACGCAGATTACTTGTGTTTTCTACTGATGCTGGATTTCATTATGCAGGCGATGGAAAAGTAATTATATTTTCCTATTGTCTCATTTTTTATTAAAAATTAATAATAAACATTTTATTTTAGCTTGGTGGAATTGTAAAACCAAATGATGGTAAATGCCATTTAGATAATAGTGGTAGTTATACACATTCAAATGTTCAAGATTATCCATCAATTTCACAGGTTAAAAATAAAATAACTATATACATGTACATGTTTAAAATTTGTTTGTTTAAAATATTTTCAGATTAATTTAAAAGTAAGACAAAATTCAATTAATATGATTTTTGCTGTTACATCTGAACAAATAAGTGTGTATGAACGTTTGAGACTACATATTGAAGGATCTTCTGCAGGTACTTTATCCAATGATTCAGCTAACGTTGTGGACTTAGTTAAAGATCAATATAATGTAAGTTTAAATACAAAATTTTTATTCAAATAATTTACTCTATTTAAATTTTAACATTTTAGAAAATTTCATCATCAGTTGAAATTAAAGACACTGCATCTGAATCCATCAAGGTTACATATTATTCTAGTTGTCTTGACAAAAGTGGTCAACTAAAGCAAACTAACAAATGTGATGGTCTTAAAGTTGGTACTGTAGTGCAATTTCAAGCAGAAATAGAAGTGACTTCATGTCCACCAAATCACAAACATTGGCATCAAACATTCCAAATATACCCTGTTGGTATTAATGAATCTTTAACTGTAAATCTAGAAATGCAATGTGATTGTTCATGTGAAAATCCTGGAAATATTGTAAGTACTTTAATACAAATTACTGTTTCTCTCATATAAGTATTATATTTTTCCACTAAGTGCATTATGTAAATATATTTTTGACAACATTTTTCTTTTCATTAAAATTATCTATTACTTGATCTAATTAATATTATTGAAAAAAACTTTTGCCCAAAAATGTTATTATCTAGTATTATACTAAGTTAAATAATATACATTTAAACATTGGTATTATTTTATTTCATGTCTAAATCAAAAATTAAATTTACAAACTTTAATACCTGGTTAGATGAAAATATTTCCATGTGTTATTCATAAAAAAAAAGAAATTCTAACAATATAGTTTGTATACCTTTTTATTGAAACATTGTGTTTGAATTAATTCATGATTTTAGAATTGATGTAATTGCATTCCATTTATAAAAAAAACATGTACATAATTGTTCTCCACTAAAATTCAGAACTTAAATTTACTTAATAGGAGTATTTTAATGAAATGTTCTAAAATTGTTGTTTTTATACTAAATATGTTTTAGGGATATATTGAAAAATCTTTTGAATGTCATGGTGCTGGCACACTTAAATGTGGTATATGTGAGTGTGATCCATTTCATTTTGGCCGTACTTGTGAATGTGATGCAAACAACAATCGACATGGTAATGATTCTTCAGTTATATCTGGGTGTCGCCCTAATAATGACACAGAAGTTAATTGTTCTGGACGTGGTGAATGTAATTGTGGGCAATGTGATTGTCACAAAAGAATAAATCCCGAAGAAGTAAATTATTTTAGCTTTCTATTTTAATCTATCATTACACATTCTGTAAATATTGTTTTTGATGTAGAAAGTTTATGGAAATTTCTGTCAATGTGATAATTTTTCATGTGATCGTTCCGGAGGTACTTTGTGTGGTGGTCATGGAATATGTGACTGTGGGGTATGTAAGTGTAAACCAGGTTGGACTGGGGAATCATGTGCCTGCCATGCTACTAATGATACATGCATTATGGATGGTAGTAATGAAATATGTTCTGGTCGTGGAGCATGTGAATGTGGTGTATGTAAATGTTTTGTTGAAGAAAATATAAGATATTCTGGAAAATATTGTCAAAAATGCCCAGTAAGAAATTATTTTTTTAAGTTGTAATAATAACAATTATTTTAACTTTATTAAAAATTAATAGACTTGTCCTGGACGCTGCCAAGAATTTAAAGATTGTGTGCAATGTCTTGTTTATAAAACAGGGCCACTGTCACCAGAAGAATGTGCTCAAAATTGCACTATTAAACCAATTCTTGTGAAAGTAGCTGAGGGTAATATTTTTTAATAATAAAAAAAAGTAATAAAATAGTTTTTTTAATTATTGGATTAAAAAAAACCATTGGTTATAACATATTGCATTTGATGTTTTCATCATTGATGTTTGCAAAAATGTTTTCTGTTGTTTATTTCATTGTTATTCATTTTTAATTATATTTTCTTCTTACTTCAATATTAGTTTTGAGTATTATATTTTTAAACTGTTTAATAAAATTATATAAGACTTTATTAAATAATAATAGAATTTATGCTTCAAAACATTATTTTACTATATTTAATTTTAAAAATATTATTAATATTTGCTTTTAGGTTTTAATAAACTGATAAGCATATTACATAGAATTCATATGAATTCTGTTTTATTATTTTATAAAAAAAAAACATAACAATAACAATATTATACAAGCAAGAACAATTAACAATATTTTGTTTAACGCATTAGTCTAATTGAATGATCAGGGGAAAAAATTTTAGGAAGTATACTTTTTCTAATTTGTCCTATTTATGGGACAATTCAAAATTCTATCATTAATTAAAAGAAATAAGCTTTAAACATTTTTTCACTATTGTTGTATATTTTAATATCATTAAGTTTATTTTTACCAAAAAAAGGCTTTTATGTTTTTGAAATCCATGTGTTTAATTTTTATTATTAAATAATCTATTAGTTTTACATATTTTACTAGTAAATTCTTTGATTTTTGCATTGTTAAGTTATAAATATTAAAATAAATATTATGTGTCATATTTATATAGCTAACGAAGAAAAAGATGAAAACCTTTGTTCATATTATGATTCTGATGATTGTCGATTTGCTTATGTTTATACTTATGACCAAACCGGAAAAATTGTTATTCGCGCTCAAGAAGAAAGAGAGTGCCCACCCATAATTCATGTGACTGGTATATTTTCTCAATATTTTTAATATTTCTTAAAATCAGTTTTAAAAATATATTATTTAGGAATAATTTTTGGAGTTATAAGTGCTATTGTATTAATTGGCATGGCTTTCTTACTACTATGGAAACTGTTAACTACAATAAATGATAGAAGAGAATTTGCTAAATTTGAAAAAGAGCGTATGATAGCCAAATGGGATACTGTAAGTGTTATAGAAATTTGAACTCTTCTTTTATTCTATATTAACTGTTATTATTTTTTAGGCTGAAAACCCTATTTACAAACAAGCAACTTCAACATTCAAAAATCCGACATATATGGGCAAATCTTAATTTCCTGATGTGTTCAAAACAATAAGTCTAATTTTGAGAGACCTTAACTGAACAAGTAGCTTACATGTTAATTTAGCTTTTGTTAGCAGTTAGAACACGTGCCATAGACATATATGATAGATAATTAACACTTAATTTTTTTTTTGTACATATACTACATGGAAATTTATGTAAATTAACATACATCAGTATGTTTGACTTTTTTAGTTCTCTTAAAAGTTAACGCCCTATAAATTTTTGTGTTGAAATGTATATGAACATTCAAAACAAATCAACATAATCATTAAATCATAGATATATAAATAGAAATACTTAAAGAACACATCCTAATATTTATTTTTGTTAATGTATTTAAAGTTTTTCTGTAAATTACTTCTACTTTGTTAATATTTTATTATTGTAATATGTACTAGATAATGTATACATAATTTATTTTTTATATTTTATACTTAAAGTAATTAACAGATCTCTGAAATTAAAATTTATTCTAATTCTGAATTTGAGCTTATGTACTTCTCATAAACCATTAATTTTTGTCTAGTCTATTTCATGAAATTATGTCTGTTTATAAAATTATAATTAAAAACTTTTAATGATTGTAATTAATTTTGAAGAATTCACATTTATCATAAAATGTTTGCCATTAATTATTTAGTACTTACACAAAACATTTTTAGTGCCTTAACAACTATTCTTTGTGTGCTAATGTTGTGCCTTTTATTGTATTATAATATTAACGACTGACTTAATTATTATAAATAAATTTTTTTTTAATTATGGTAGACTTAAATTTTTTTCACCACTACGTACTTGTATTTAAACAGACACAATAAAACATTTATCATTCTCTACATAAATGTTGCTATATCAAGATAAAAATTTAATGTTGTCTTGTTTTTTTTATAATTAAAATATTAAATTTATTTTCATTAAAGAAATGGATACAAATATTTACTTTTAATTCACCATTTTTCTTCAAAGTTGGATTTTTCAATATATAGTGTCATTAAATATGTATAACATGTTTAATACTTTTAACATGGTATATTACTAATTATATTTCTGAGTGTGTGAAATAGATAAGCAGCCACTTGAATTAATAATTATCATGATGATTCCTTGAGTTATAATAGTACTACATTGAAAGTTTTACACTAAGAAAGTTTAGTAATACAATATAATAAAATAAAATAATTTTTCTGTTTCTATATTTTAAAGGGTTATTTTTAATCTTGCATATAGATTTTATAATGTACAGTTTAAAAACTGTTGGAAGTACTAAAAGCCCAGTAAAAGGTTTATAAAAGATTTATTTTGCTTTTTAAATAATATTTAGTTTATTTTTATATTTAAAAATATTTATTAATGAGTAGATGATTCAGAAATATTGGAGTTAGAAGATGTTTCTAATAAAATTGTCGAACACACAACTGAGAATACTGATCATAAGAAACTCAACAAGAGTAAGACAAATTGATATATTAAATTTAAAATTTTTCCTTTAATATATTTTTTTACTAATCACGATTAAAAAGAAGATGCCGTCGTTGATAACAGTCGACTTTCTCATGCATAAATATTCTTCCTTCTATAAATTCTCTATCCCATATTTTACCTTTTTGAAAATTCTTAATACATGTTTCATAAAAAGTAAAATTCTGATAACCTTTTAACTCTGACTAGACGTTTACACTTACTTAAAAAAACGAATAGATTTTAATTGCCCGACCTGATCTTTACACTTAATACTTAATTTATGTCCACGCCCTATGGACTAGGCTAGTTCGGTTCAACCTAATGTAGAACGAACCTAACTAGCCTAGTCGACGCAGTACTCTAATCTGCAGCAATGAGTCCCCTAATTAATGTCAGACGAAATCGTTCCTTCATTAACGAGATATAAGTATAACACTTTTTACTTTACACTAAAAGTAATTTTTGATAGAAGTGGCGGAAGCGCATTACACGCCCTTCGAATAACCTTTAGTTTTAATATCACCCATTTCAAAATAGTTTCTTTTTAATCCTTACATTCTGGGCTACACGAAATTGAAATTAAATTTAAATAACTAAAAATTTCAATGAACGTGACGAAATGTGTGTCTTTATTTTCCAAATGATCCTCGTAACTAAGAACTCATGTAATGTAAACCTTAAATAATTAATTTAAATAAAATAATAATAATCTAATAGATACATATGTATACTATGTTTACATGTAATTATTAACATTTTACCTCACAATTTCAATTTTTAATCAAATGATTTATGTTGTTTTTTTATTTATACTCTAATTAAAACAATTTAATAATAGATTAACACTTTTACTTAAATAATTCAATTGTTATCACTCCAAAGATGGAATGACGTGTGTTCATACTGGTATCGATAAAGTGTTTATTAAAGCATAATTAGCAGCTCCCTTTTTGTATTGTATAAGCTAGAAAATTATAAATCAATAACATAAAAAACATCTTTATTTTATATCGTCATTACAGTATTAGTTTTATATAATAATTCAATATTTTTATATTTAAATATGTATTTCAATATCATACGTGTATTATTATAAATTTTTTTACGTTAGATTATATTTAACATTCCTAGTACTCAGATTAATTTAATGTTTTTTAGTAATATTTTTTTTTAAGTTGTACTACTTGAATTAAAACACTTGTTCATGTTTTGGGTTTAGATATAGAAAATACATAGTAAATTATTATTATCACATTAACAAAAATGTATAATAATTATTCATCATTTACACAGTTATTTACGTTTTTTTATTTTTTATACATAAGTAATATCGAATCAAACATAACATAATAGTGAGTTTCACAAAAAAAATCGTTCATCAGTAGATTAGTAAAAAATGAATGATAGAGTGTGTTGTTTTTTTTTTTTGAAAGTGTCTATGTTTTTCATTTTACGCATCAAGATATAAAATAAAGTAGCAAAGCAATTAAAGTAAAAATTAGTCTTCATAAAAAAAGAAATAAATTTTTGAAAAATAATTTTTAAATTGAAGCAAAATTAGAATCCAAAAAATTCATCTAGACGTCTATTATAGCGACGGAACCGAGGAAAACTAAAATTCACTTTTGCATTTAGGTGTTTATTTGTGCCTCTAGAAAATTTACAAATATGTGCCTCCTTCAAAAAAATATTTTTTATTATTCAAGTATAATCATACGCTTACTTCATAATATTACTTTTCTAGCTTTTGTAGAAGAAAAACCTACAATTTGCGCTCTTGTTCTATGCTCTTATAATGCCCTGAATACGACCTTACTAATATGGCTACCTAGTTAAAAAGAGAATAATAACTCAAAACCATAAAAATTATAACACAGAATTTTAGATATGCTAAGTCTGGATTTCTAATGACGCCCTAATTGTTTTGTTATACTTTCATCTCTTTCCATCATTCCCGATAAATGAAATAATGTTTCATATAACTATTATTAGTGGTGTTTTGGAGGGTAAACCCACTAATAATTTTTCTTATTGATGTATACCCATGAAATATTATTATCTAAATTGTATTAAATCAAGTTATCAAAAGTTCCTATAGTTTAACCTAGCACTGGATTGGGAAAAAAATGAGATTTTTACCTTAAGACCCAGTCGCGCCTAAAATTAGAGCCACCAGTGATAATTTTTTTTTTCGATTTTTTGCTCTCTTCAAAAATATTTTCTTCAGTGTGCTTTTTACAAAAGGTATTTAAGGTATAAAAGGTATTCTGAGTTATCTATAAAGCAATATTTAAACAAAACAATATATTTTTAATCTTTTAAAATTTCACTTTTGTTTATAACAAAACACATGATGAATTTTTATGTTCCGAGGGGGTCACTATCATGGGACGTGAGCGGTCAGTCCCTCCCATCTACCATAGTACCCCCGTGTGCGGCTTGGGGGGGGAGTATGACACGGTACCGTGTTTCCCTCAGCAGCACATCACGTTATCAACCTAAATAAAAGTGTATCGGGATCTGATTTATAAGTGCACGGTGGCCTAGTGATAAGGTTAGTCTATACGACGCCTTAGGTCGCGGGTTCTAATCCCATACCGTGCCTCTTTTTTTCACATGATTTCCGGTACACTTTCTATAACCAGACGTCAATCCCCGGCGGCCGTGTTATGTTTATAACATGAACAAAATACAAATAAAATTGGTCAAAATAACAATAAGTTTGTTAATTTTAATATTTTTAAACTGGAGACGGTTTTTTTAAATGGCATCTCTTGTAAATGCTTTTACATTTTTAATTAACTTAAAGTTAATAAATAAATCAAATGAATTAACGTTCAATCTTCAAACAAACGAAATTCTGAATACTAAAAAAATAACATGTGATGTAAATTGTTATCGTCTTATATAATAATAATTATCCGACAAACGTCCTAAATAGATACCTACCAAAACTATTAGTTTTTAGCTATTTATAAATAAGCTTTACCTATTGATTTGAACCGTTTTATAAATTACGTGTGTCATATATTAAGGCTGATCTAAATTATCATTAGTTGCATTATCATAGAATTATAATTACGTGGAGTGACTACACTTATCATAAAATATAGTCTCAAATATTTACAAGGAGACCACCAAACTTTTCTCGATAACTCGTCTCCTAGTTTATCCGTTCATGATTGAAACCTATCACTACACAGAGTGTACATTGAGAACTTTTTTTCTTATTTACTGAGCACTCTATATGTTTTCTATTCAAAAAGCTCAGAGCATCAACTACACAAATCCAATTTTTTTAAAAAATAATTTTTTTTAGTTTCGAATAATATGTGTTTCTTGCGTACTTTAGTACAAAAATGGATTCTACATACAGATTATTTTTAAGATTTCTATTAATAAATAAATGTTCAATAAATTGTTTTTCCTGATAAATGTCTAATAATGAAATTACTCGTGTGTTGCACTAAGCCCTTTATTATATTGACTTCTTGTTAAATAAATAAATTTTATTTACCTTTGTTATTGTTGACCACAGAAAAATGAGCCAAATTAAATTGTATCAACTTAACAGAGCAGAAACAAAAAACACGAGAAATTTAATACTTATATTTAATTCGAAATTTACTGTAGGAAGGGTGAAGAAATTTTGTTAGGAAGGATAGTGTTAAGAGTGTTTCTTTTAAAGAATTATAATTGTTAAACTTAATGTTAATTAACGAAAATATTTCCAATTATAAGATTAATTTTTCACGTAATTCACACATAATTTTTACATAACCTACCCAAATCAATAAACACGTTATGAACCTTCCTTGGTCATTAACTGCAAGCCCGGTATTATAATTTGTCTTGTATACAGAGTAACTTTTGACCATAGGACCCAATCTAATTAACGAACTATAAATTACATTTTTTAATCACTATTTATGTATGGTCTCTGAAAAAGCGTGAGATCTGATCAAGGGCCCTGTACACCATAGGAAAAGTTTGAAAAACATGTTTAGAAGCTAAATAATTTTTTTTTATGGTAACTAGCTCCCAAAAACCTCTTCTTTAAACTTTACACATTCCGATCACCACCTTCCCACTCAAACGCCTGACTAATCAGCGGAGGGCATTGCTCAAAGAATATAAACCTCTGAACTAACATAGATCAAAGCAAAGTTTGGAATGAATTCATGAGTACATTCAATTTTTACAGTATAAATTATGAATATGAATTGATTAATTTCACAAGGAACGTATTTAATTATTTGACTTATTTTTCTAGGAACTCAATACACAAATTAATAACTGTATTATTTTCTTATTAATTTTGATTATTGTAACTAGGTCTTAGCAATGATAGAGAAATTGAGAAAAAATCAATTGGTCTATTTTTATGGTCGATTTTGCAGTTTTTTGGACTTGTTTCCTTAGCTATCATAATTTATACTTCTATAAAATTTAAACATGGTTTTTTTGGAGAATTGGATAGTAGTAAATCTGTTGTCATAAACCAGTCTCAATTATGCAATTGGCATTACACACTGGCCGCGCTAGGTTTTATATATCTTTTTGGAAACTGTAAGTACTTTGTCAATTTAGAGTAATAAAAGCTACATTTTTCTAAATTGTATAATAAAGATCAGTTTTAAATTGTAAAAACTAAAAAATGGCGCTTTTAAAATAAAATCCTAGAATACGAGGTGTGTTCAATAAATACCAAAATATAACTAGAGATAATGACCATTATTTTAGTATATAAAAATAATCATTATCTCAAATCAGTCATTAACAATACGCGTTCAAATTTGGTCGTTTTGTATGAAATCGCGATTTCACAATGGATAATATTACGGAGCAACGCGCGTGTATCAAATTTTGTTTCAAAATTGGTAAAAATGTTATGAAAACTTTTGAATTGATTAAATTGGCTTTTGGAGATGTTTCACTATGCCGTTGTGTAATTTTTGAATGGTTCAAATGTTTTAAAGAAGGTCGGATATCCATTGAAGATGACCATCGTCCTGGACGTCCGTCAACATCAATAACACATGATACCATTACTCTTGTTCGAAACAAAATTAGATATGACCAACGATTAACTGTCAGAACAGTAGCCAATGAAGTTGGCATATCAATTGGTACTTGTTATTCGATTTTATCAGATGAATTGGGTATGAAAAGAGTGTCCGCAAAATTAGTGCCAAAATTGTTAACTGAGAAACAAATGGAACATCGCATTGAAGTTTGTTTGGAACTAAAAAATCGGGTGTCTAATGACCCAAATTTTATAAAATCAATTATTACGGATGATGAAACATAGGTGTATGGATATGATCCCGAAACCAAAGTTCAGTCATTACAATGGAAGACCAAATTCACCTCGTCCAAAAAAAATATCGTCAGATCCGTTCAAACATTAAAGCAATGCTCACTGTTTTTTTCGATTTTTTTGGTTTAGTCTATTATGAGTTTATACCTACAGGTCAGACAATAAATCAAGTGTTTTATAAACAAGTACTAGTACGATTAGGCGAAAAAGTACGCCGTAAAAGGCCAGAAGCGTAGAAATCAAAGTCGTAGTTTTTGCACCATGACAATGCATCAGCGCATTCAGCACTTTCCATTCGTGAATTTTTGGCATCTAAAAATATACCAGTGGTACCTCACCCACCATATACACCTGACTTATCTCCCTGTGATACTATCCAGAACGCGACACAAGAGTTACACGCTATAACTAAGGAGGACATTCAAAGGTGTTTCAAAAGTGGCAAAACCGTTGGGAGCATTTTATCGAAGCTAAAGGACGATATTTTGAAGGTGATCCATTTAAATAAATTGTAAGATTGAAATATAATTTTTAATAAATTTTGTCTGGGTATTTATTGAACACACTTCGTATAACGATAAAAGGTAGAATTGTAGAATAACGATTTCTAGTTTTTGAGATATTCTGTTATTTATGGAGGTTCTTCCGATTATTCAACATTTATAATATATTTTGTTTTTTCAATATTATATTACATATGTGCAATATTTGGTTTACAACGGGGGTATGATAAATATTTGTTTAGCCTTTTCTATAAAAAAATAAAATGTATGTCTTTGTTTAAACGATTATGTTTTATAATAAAATAGTTTAATTAATCTATATAACCATTAACCACTCGACCTCATAGTCAGAAAAACTAACTTACCTAAACATAGCATTTAATGTTTCTATCCCGAATTTATTTTTTAACTATTTCGTTTAAATTAAGAAGGATATTTCATTGCAATATTTTTAATATTACTTTTTTTTTAGCTATCTTCATGATAATAGAAAACAAAGATGTAACAGTGTCATTTGTAATGTTACATTCATTAGCATTTTTAACTTCAACAATATCCATAGCAATAATTGTTATTCGAAGAGAAATGACTAAAGTACATGACAGCAATATATGGACTTTTAAAAGTATTCTCTATGGTCATCTATACACTTTACATTCTTGGATCGGTGCCACAACTCTATTGATGTTCTTGTTACAATGGTTGAGTAGTGTATTCATTTTTATGATACCTTGTTTGCAATACAAAGGATTACCTTTGGGCAAAAAATTTAGCTTATCTACGTTATTCATAGCCACCACTGCTCTTTTGACTGGTGTCAATGAACACGCCGTTTATAGTTTGTACGCATAAATTAGATAAATTTCTCTTAATAGTTTATTAATAGTTACTATCATGGTTGTAACGGGTAACGGGAATACAGGGTTCGATTCCGGGGAGGGAGTCTGAGAAACGGCTACCAGATCCAAGGAAAGCAGCAGGCGCGTAAATTACTCATTCCCGGAACGTGGAGGTAGTGACGAAAAATGACGATACGGAAATCATACCTCGTAATCGGAATGAATGAGTTCTATATCTTTAAATAAGAATAAAGTGTGTTAATATATATATATATATACATATAAAGCGACTTAAGTACGTAAACGTATCATGCATTAGGTACAGTCGTGTTTTGTGAGCGGGCAGGTCGGACTAACGTTATGCCTGAGGTATAAANAGAATAAATCGTGTTAATATATTAATTTTAATAGTAATTAGAATATATATATATATACAAATAATGCGACTTAACTACGTAAACGTATCATGCACTAGGTATAATCGTATTTTGTGGGTAGGCGGGTCGGACTAACGTTATACCCGAGGTATAAACGGCGGTAGGAATATATATATATATACGCGTAAGGCGCATTAGACGCGGGCGTTATTGGTCAGTCAAAATAAAAATTTGTTTACATATATATAATATTGATGACAAGCACGCGTGTACGGGTACGATAACTAAAAATAAATTTTTATAGGAATAGTGTACCGTCGTATTGTGAGCGAGGCGTGGGGAGGGGTGAATGCGTATAACAGTCTAGTCTAGACAACGGAATATGCGATAACGCGTGGCGTTTGGAGAGTTACAAACATACATACATACATACATACATACATACATACATACATACATACATACATACAGGTGAAACTAATATAAGCGTGTTAAAAATATATACTGGTGTTCAGTAAGTAAAGCAACGGGTTTTTAATGTTCGCATAGTTTGTAACAATTGACCTATTTCCTTACTTACTGAAAACTATTTTATATATTTTTTTTAAGTTTAGTGGTCTCTAGGACCATTCCGTCATAAATCTAGCCTTCCAACCTGGAAGGCTGATTATTCCTCGATCAGATGCTCACGTCTTCCAATCTATTCCTTCTCTCAGATCTTCCACATCATTCTTAACTATACCTATTTACCTCATTCTTGGTTTTCTAATGGGTCTTTTTCTTGTTGGAATCTTATCTAGTACTGTACGGTATAATGGATTTTGGTTTCTCCAAATATGTCCTAATTATAGTCTTTTATTTCGGATTTCTTTAATGATTGTCGGTTTTTAGTATATCGACTCTAATTTTTCATTATTTCTCATTCTCCATTCATTGGTTACACTGTCTTTCACAGGTTCAACAATTTTTCTCAGAATAATCTATTAAAAAATGAGAAGTTTTGCTTTCTTTGGCTTATCTTGCATTTATATTTTTCAAAAATACTTTTGTCATTTAATTTCTTAATTTGTAATTATTCCTCTTTGTTGATTTGCAATTTGTCATTTTCATCCAACATTCAACTAATAATTTATCGTAATCTGAATTGGTCTTCGTAAAGTTCTTTTGGTATTTTCTTGCAGTTCTAAAAAGAGTTATTTGTAAACCCTATCGGTGCTATTAATGTAGGGTAATTCACTTATCAAGAACCACTTAATAATTCGAAAAATAAAAATAATATTGATAATTTTATTATTAGTTTCTTTTAGTTCAATTTTTTTTTTCAATTCATTATATCAATATCATTCATAACGTATTTTTATGTTCATTCCTTATACCTGGGTATAAACTATGAAAACACACACAATTAGCTAGCTTATTAAATAGATAATACTCTTATTTAACATAAGTAGACAATAACAAACTGTAAAAATAATATATAAAATCTTAGGTCCCAGAGAGACTCTTTCAATTACTTTACTTAAACGTTAACTTAATTAACTATACAGGGTGTT